CTGGGTCAAAGCGGGAGTCCTTGCCACAGCAGGTCAGAGAGCAAGCGGTGAGAGGCAGCTGCCACCTCAGCCTCCCTTGCTGATTTGGAAAGCTCTTTTCTCCCGGGGAAGATGTGACAGTCTTAAAGAGAACTGCACAATGATGGCATTGCATGCACACCCTATCTTTTTTCTTCTTGCAAGGTATCCAAGGAGACTTGCACATCTCCATTTTATCCTCACAACAACCCTGTGAGGTAGATTGTGTCTGTGACTGACCCAGAGTCACCCAGTGAACTTCAAGGTCAAGTAGACACTTGAACCCAGATCCTGGTTCCCTAGGCCCACACGCTTAACCCTCATATTACCACAACGGTTGCCTGGGTCATATGGTCAAGGGATGGCTTGTTAACTAACCTGCATGTTTTGGTTGACTTGCATAATCATTGCTGCTGGACACAGCTGCTTATGTCACCTGAACCAAGGAAGGGAATGGCTTAGTGGTTTGGTTAACAAGCCACTCAGAACTCATGGCCTGTTGCTGGGTTGTGGGGTGGTTTGTAACATGTTTTACAAATGTTTGTTATATAATGCAGCTTCCAAAATACCTTTAGTAAAAGTTCAAATGTAGCTAGCAGCCCTTTTGTATGTCAAGTTACCATAATTTAATGTTCTTCAATATAAAATCTGTAGACAAATGATGGTAGGGTGCAGGTACTTGTGCTGTATACAGAAGAGGTTATTTTTTAAATTTATTCTTAACATGTAGACACATGTAGACACCATGTCATCTTTCTGAATGCAATACATTAGAAACCTTCAGTCAATTGCTATGGATGGGAATACCAAATCAGCTTGGAATATTTAGCTGGAGAGTGCACTGGAAGGGAAGTGATCCTTATATTAAAAAGAGCAGTCTTCAGATTCTGGTTAGAGAAGTATCTGTTGTTAAACCACTTGAAAATAATGACCACAGCACTATGAATTCATGGAAAGTGGGAGGAAATGTCCAGAAGACATTCCAACACTATCACTTCTCATTTGTCAACAATGAGGGAATTAGTAATACAAAACAAAAGGCTGAATGGGACAGAGTGCTGATCACAAAGGCCAATTGCCTTCCAAAAATGGCAAGTTTGCTCAACCCACTATTGGAAACCCAGATAAAGCTGTATACTGCAGAGCAGAAAGGATATGAACAAATCCAAAAACTACTAGAGTGGTTAAATAGAATGCCTCTCTTAAAAGGGGAACTATTGTCTATCTTGGGTGTGTATTGTGTATTTTTTGCCCTGGGAAGATGCTGGATAGGAGTCTACATTTGAATTACTGTATTTGTGGAGAGCATCCAAGGAGAGATCAGAGTAATTGACTGTAAATTAACAAGAGCCAGAGGCATTGTCACGAGTGTTCTTAAAGGGTTCATGTAGGATTGCAGAACTTTTAACCAAAGCATGCAACTTTTGGAAAAAACAAGCTGATTTGGGTACAAGTCTTAGAAGCTATAAAATTTAGATCATCTTACAGTGTCCAGCTGGAATGGAATGGCTGCTTCTGCTTGCTTGTACATAGTGGATAGTTCTGAGGTTCACAAACAGAATGAATTAGAAGATTTCTGTGTGTCTTGTCCTACATTCACTACCCCATGTTTCTGTGTTATGATTCTATAGTCTACAAAGGATGGTCTTTATTACATCATTCTGTTAAAAGAAGGATCTCTTTTTGCTTTCTGAAGTTCATTCAGCAGTTGAATTGACTGAAATAATCACAAGCTAGATATGCAAATATCAATTCACATTTCCAAATCTATTGGTTTTGACTTCAATCAGTTCTGCTTTTAAATAAAGCTTAGAGTCTTACTGGTCGATTTTGTAAAGACAATAGAACATGTTTAACATGGAAGACGTCTTCTGTGCATCGACCAGAAGGTGGCGCTCACTTCCTACAGAGAGTTGATTCAGAAGTAGTTGGTATGAATGGAATGCAACTAAAAAAAAAAGGAACATTAAATACGCATTTCCTCACAGCTACACATCAGAGTGCAGGTCTCTTTTATCTACCCAAGGACTGATATAGGTATCCTTGTAATGGCAAGGTGGGCTTTGTTATGCCTTCTGATGGGCTTTGGCTGCTTGTGATTGGACAGCCCCCCCCCCTGGCCACCTTTTCTTTTTGACACTTTGCAATTTGAACTTGACACTAAAATTTTCAAATACAGGCTAAAAGACAGGCTTAGAGACTGGCTCTTACAGCCTAAGAAACTGTATGAATGTTGCTGTACAGGAATATTATTTCTAGTTCTCCTTGGCTGGCATCAGACCTCTGATCATTACTCTATCTTGACCTCTGTTTTGCAATCATCACTTAGTCTGTCAATTTGAATGACTGGCCTTTTGTTCCTTCAGAAACTTTTGTCAAGCAGGTTAGTCCAATTGCTTAATAAAGTTGGTTAATCCTGGTTAGTCCATTTTGTTCACAACACCACAAAGGTGTTCAGAGGAATTTCTCCTGCCTTCCCCAAAAGAATTTAAAATTGTGATATAACTGGGTTAATTGCAGAAAGCTCCACTAAATGAGACCAAGGGCCTATTTAAACTTGACATTTGGAAACCACGGTGGCCAGCCAGGTGCCTCTGAGAAGCCACAAGCAGGACGCAAGGGAAATTGACTCATGTTCGCCAGCAACTGGCATACAGAAACGCAATGCTGCACATCTCGAAGGCAGCATCAATACCTAAGTCATTGACAGCCTTCTCTCCAATGAATTTCTTTAATCCTCCTCTAAATTGGTAGCATTATCACTTACTGTGGGAACACCTTCCATAGTTTAATTAGGCAGCACAGAGTAAGACACTGTGATTGCAATAATCTGTCCTGCTTAATTGATTTTCTCATATACTACATACATGAAGAATATTCCCTAATATGGCATCACATGCTTGTATGCTTCCCCCCTTTACCATCTATGGTTAAATGTTAAGAGCTCTTCATAATCCGAGTTTTGTTTAGTGTGGTGATTGAAAGGAAACCCAGATTAACTAATCTGTAAAACAAAATACTGAGTGTGATGGTTCTCTGAAGTCACTTCCCTCTGAATTCTGGTGGTTTTGGGAATAGAACAAAGGCAATCTGATTTTTTTTTTTTTTTTTTTTTGGAATGCAGGTCTAAGGATGTCCCCAAGTTTACAATACTTGTGTCTTTTGTAGTTCTGAATTTGATTACAATGTAGTGTTTTAAGGTGACATTCTTGAATAATGCAAGTATGCAACAGAAGTGAATACAGTCTCCATTTCTAGTAAAAATGATGTGAAATTCATTTAAAGTAGGAATAATTGAAAATATTCATACTTGAAGTTGTACACAATTTCTAAAAGTTTCCCATGTTCTTCTTACATATTTCCCTTTAATGAGTCAATCATGGATGGCTTCAAAATAGTGTTCTGCTTATGTTAACGAATCTGTGTTTGCATATTAGATGCAATGCTACAACTGCTTTCAAAGAAAAGGGAAGCAGGATAGCAACTCATACTTGTGCTATTTGGGTTGCTCTGGTGAACTGCCAAAAAGCTCTATAGGAGAGTGTTTGCATATTAAAGAGCACTATACCCATACAGCTCTTGTGTGAAAGTTTGCCAGTGTGACTAAATTTGCAAGATTCTGTTAGTGAAAGTACTTCTGCTATTTTGGGAAGAGTGGAATTTTGTCCATGAACATTTGCTGAACATTGAAAGCCTGAAGCCCTCACTCAGTTGACAGAAATAGTGGGGAAGCATTAGAGGGACAGTGGCTGAGCACTCTTTGCCTGCTTAGACTGCTCTGATCCCTTCTGAGAAGGCTGTGTGGCTGATTGGTTGGGGCAGCTTCTGTCTTCACCAGCAGATCAGAGCTGGCTTTTCCTCCAGTCTCTGTGGATGGATTTGATGTCAAGGGCGAGGAAAGACAGCTGCAGCAGCCGGTGTGGCACCACCCACACACCTGTTCTCTTTGGTGGAAAGTGTTACAGGCCTCAGGTGAGGCTTCTGCATTTCGCGTTAAGAGTCCCCTGAGCACAGAGCTCCCAGCCTCATACCCAGGTGCCCAAGGAGATGCTCCTCAGCTCAATTCCTTTCCTACAACCTTGCAGCAGTTTTCGACAGCCTGCTGCGGATGCTTTTGCTGAGCATAGTTGTGTTTTGGCTCAAGTGAGAAATGAAACAGTGTGCTGAGAGGTGTAGGGGAACCGAACACGTCTCATAGCTGCTGTGAAGAGCACTTCTGCATCAGGAAGCCAGTGTTACAGCTAGGGCAAGAGTAAGGGGGCAGAACTGGTTGCTGGTGGGGGAGCAATCTGGCAGAATATGGGCTTGATTTCTGCTCTGACTGATCTGCTGGAAAGTTAATGGGATTTAGACATCCTCCCTCTACCCAGGATTGCAGCCTTAAGGCAATACTACGAAATGCAACTTAATTCTTTTTAGAGGGAGAGGGGTGATGCTTAGAGCAGCCAAGGTTTAATCAATAACACGAGGGTGCCTTTCATTTCTCAACAGCTTAGTCATATAGGGAAGCTGCTGCAACTGATTAACTAATACCCCTTTCCTTGCAATATTGCATGGATTCATGTAGAGCCACTAAACTTGAAGTTTACTTCATCAGCTTTTGTACTGAAAGGGTTTTTACAGGAACTGAGTAGTTGGGGAAGTTGACAGACATCTGCTAACCTTAGTTTTATGTATAACTGTCCAAAAATGCAAGTTCACCAGAGTTGGAATAGTTGCCTTGAGGAGGGTACAAAAAGCCAACTAACATGGGCTGAAGGGGAATAGCACTGGAATTTCTCCTGCCTAGCTCAACATTTCCCTCAAGGTAATGAACAACTTGAACAGTTTCTCCTCTGCGATTTCGCAAACTCATTGATCAACCATTTGGCTGCGTTTTAACCACTTACAAGAGTAATTTCATTACATATATTTTAATTATTTAGTGAAGGTAGCTATCATTTTACTCAAAGCCAAGAAGTATGAATAAAGCAATCCAAGTGTTCAATAAACACACAATTTATTCTGATTTTGTATAAAAAGGTTAAGTTTACAACTAAACTTTTATAAAAAGTTCAGCATGATTACGTACATCATTACACTTTTTGCAGAAATGTACATTTCTGCTACTATACAAGAAAACTCTAATTAAAGAGTTCAGAGTTTCATTCCCATATTTATATATAAATATATACACAGCATTCAGTCCTACACTTGTGTCAAAAGAGAATAATTTTTGACAAAGACTTCACTGAAAAACTGAACACTAACTCCTTCTAGTACTCACGCTCCACCTTTTGGAGATAAAAAAGGCAAAGTCTGATTTAATATGGGCAATTCCTTAAGAGTTTTTTACATTTCATTTCGCTCCCCGTTGTGGGAATAGTATATAATTGAAGCCTTCCGACTAGGGAAAGGGCATTTTAAAAGTCTTTTCATAAATAATTAAGATTAGTCCATGGTGTAGAACAGGGGAGGTGGCGTCCACAATTTTTCTTAAAAGTGTCCATTTAATTGGATATGGATCCCCCTCCAGATACAGCTGAAAATCAGATTCAGCAGCTTGGGAGAAAAAAAAAGCTGTCTCCTCTTGTGCAAAAAAAAAAAAAAAAAAGCAGTCAGCAAACACCTGCAAAAGATTGAAGAGAGGCATATTTAGAAGAATGCTAACAGGGCAGAGATCCGGACAGACTGGCGCCAGAGAGGAAGCCACAGTTTGAACATTTAACCAAACACTCAAAGATTGGGCATATTCTGGCGTCCAGATGCAGCATGCGCACACAAGTTCTCCCTTTCTTGCTCACTCACTCTCCCGCTCTCACACACACTCTCTCTCACTCTAAATGAAATTATAGATGTATGTTGGAGGGCTGCTGAGGACTGGCAGAAAACACAAGTCCGTGTGCACACACTCTTATGTTTGAATGCCTGCCTGCACTGACAAGAGATGCGAAAGCAATTATTTAGTTACATATTCTTTAACTGATCCCCGGAACAATCCAGTAATCAGAACAGCAGTTATCTCTGTCCCTAGACATTAAACTTTGGAAGTCTGTCTCCAGTGAACATATTGGTTCATACACAGAAGGGAACACGAATTTGTGGCTTAATTCTCACTGATCCAAATCCTCAGTGCAGTACAATTTTTAGGCAGTTCGGAGTATACTCTGAACACCAGTCAGATACCGCTCTCATACCCCTTCCACACCTCCAACCGGGAGACTTTGTTAGATCAAACACTCTTAAAAACTCAGAAACTGAGCACTTACCGATTCATTTAGCCACAAAGTGCTTTGCTGTCATTTGACATTAACTCTGAGGGGAATTCAGCTGCCTGCAAAGGGGGAGGGAGGGAAAAGAGAGTGTGGTGTTAAGATGCTTAACAGTTCAAGGAGACGTATGAAGTACTCCAGATTACAAAGTCAATGAGCACGACCAGCAATAATTACTATTTGCCAAAAATGGACGACATTGGAATGGTTAAGGAACTGAAACCAAACGACGCGTTTTCCCCCCTCTTTTTATCCCAGTCGCCCCCTTTAAAAATACACAAACAAAAAACTACGCAGCTCCTGAACAACAGCCGTGCATCAGCCACAGCTTACTTATGGATGTGATACAGGGAAACTCCCAGGATGAACTCAACCGAGGGAAGGACTACTCTTACCTGTAACGACAAGATGCTGATGTCTGTGTTTAAGGTGGTCAGGGGGGTTCTGGAGGAAGGGTTTTGTCCCGGTCTCTGGTGATGGAGGCTGACAATGCTGGGATGCGTGTCGAGAGCGATCTGCAGGTCCAGGATGTAGTCAATAACATGCTGCAGGATTTCCATCTTGCTGACTTTCTTGTTCTGCGGGATGCTGGGCACCAGCTCTTTCAGTTTAGAGTAGCAGTCGTTCATGTTGTACAGCAAACTCATAGGGTCATCCACCGGGGTTTTGCTCCGGGATATTCCCAGGCTGTGTTCCGAGAGGCTGTTTTTCCTGACAGATCGCACAGGACTGAATGCTTTCATGATTGGAGGGAGAGCGAAGAGCTTTTGCACGCGAAAAGCACACCGCGAAGGGAAATTCGGCTGCCTTTTTTTCTTTTTTATTTAGCTTTCCTGCCTCACTTCCTCCTTTCGCTTTCTCTCTGCGGCTGCCTGGTCTACCGTCAGAATGAAGCCGAGGGCGCCCGTCCTGCCTTTTATAATGCACGTCCTCCAGCTGACAAATCCAGGCAGCGCTCGCTGCTATTGGAGGCGCCCCGTCCGTCCGTCAGGCGCGGAGGCGCTTCTCACTGGCACAAAGCGAGCCTCGGCCAAGGCGCGGGCCTTCCGCGTTCTCGGCCAATCGGAGAAGAGGGGGGCGTGTCCCAGGCACAGCTGTGGGTAGTAAATAGACAGTACAGGGAGTACAGTACGATTTCAAAAGAGCTTGGGGAGAGAAAAGCGAAACGGTCGCCCCATTTATTTATTTATTTATTTATTTATTTATTTGGCATCTTCATTCCGAGGAGCCAGATCTAATCATCACAGGCTGGGCTTCTTCCAAGCCACAGGCACTTATTCAGCATTGTACTGATTTATTTGTCCCTCTCCCCAGCCCAGTAATCTCGCCCTGGCGAACGATCGTAACACACAAAGAAATGCGAAAGAGCGGTTTTAGTTGCACTGTGTGTCAAAGGGGAGAAACAGAAGAAGCCATTGTAAGTGAAGCAAGGAGCAGTGACAACAACTTCCCCTCCTGCTCGCTGGCATATTGCGTTGCAACGAAATCTTGATTGTCCTAAAACTTGCCATCCCGGCGCACTTTGAAGCAGTTGACAACTATTCCCGATTAAACAGCATGAGAATAGCAGTCCGTGTTACACCAAGGGAGGGAGGTTTCGAGCAGTTTTAATTTTAAATTTGTCAGAACTGCTGAACAGTAGATCCTTTTATTTATGGATATTTTTGCCAAAAGGCTACACAGGATACTGAAGGAGAGGCACTGTAGAAGGGGTAACTGTAACTCAGTCAAGCACATCTGTCAAGCAGGCAAGAGCAAATGGAACGCTTCCCTCTGTGCCAGCAACTCAGCACTTGAATCCAGAAGTTTTCAAGATGATGCCGTCATTTGGTTTCACAAGTAGGCTAAGTGAACAATGGTATTAAGTGGCGAACTATTAGGCTAATGTTCGTATTGAGCACCCAAAGACATATTGCACATCCAAGGCTCCTGTTCTGTTCCCCTTCACTGCCTATAGGGCAACCAATTAGATATAAGTGAATCCTGGTGACAAATATGAACACAGCCAGAGCTGCCAGAAACATTTCAAACATGAAAATTTGTCTTTTGCTGCCATTGTAGTCTCATAAGAGATGCTGAAAATGAACAGAAAAATCACTGCACCACTCTATTAAAATCAATATATGGAAGAGAAATGAGTATCTACTCTTATCTTCTGTTAGTATTAGGTTTTGGGGTGAGGGGGATATTTTTAACGCAGTATCTGTGCTGCCCAAAATACTTTTCCCTAAACTTTTATTACGGGCTTTGAAGGAGATAAACATGTATATATAGAGAGAGGACACCCTTCCTTTGCCTTCTCTGGATTACTAGAAGATGGCTTTCACGATGGTTTCTCAGAATCCAAGCCTTTTATGGACTACTGTTGCTCAGGGGTGCTACCCTTATTTTTCACATTTTCACACAAACATTTGCGTGTTTCTTCTAAAACCTCTTAGAAATCCTTGCCAAAGGCCAACTTTGGCTCCTGAAATAGCAGTTTAAGAAGCCTGCAGTGTAAATTCCAGCAAGCACGCATATTGCATCCATATATTTTCCTGCAGAATCTTCCCTATCAACAGAGAGACTCCCCAACCACATTTTTGTCTTTTGACCAACCTTGGCATCAGCTACCCTTGGAAGGTGAGGACAAGTGCGTATTCCTCCTCTTCCTCATGTTTCTTAAGGGTGTGAACTGGGGCTGCACCCTGTCATATGTCCTTCCTGTTGGTACACTTTTTCGCCCACCCTTCCAGGAAAATAAATTACCTAAGTGGACTCCACGTGCATGTGTATAATCATAGAGGCTGCTTGGCTTACAGGTTCTTGGGAGGAAAGAAAGAAGATGGGGGGGGGGGGGGCAGCAGCAGGCACTGCCTTCCCCAGTGTACAAACCTCAGCTTACACTCTCTTGCCTTTGTGCATCTCATTCCCATCTTTCCTGCTCTGTGATGCATTCAGTTCTGTGATGCCATAAGACAGTATTTCTATTCCTCAATATACTCAAGGGAAGAGCTGCAGTTCTGTGATAAGAGCTTATGCTTGGCGGACAACAGGTGCCAGGTTCAGTCCCTGACAACTCCCAGGAGTGGCTAGTAACATGCCTGCCTGAAACCATACAGGGATGCTGCCAGTCCATGTAGACAACACTGATCTCAATGGGCCAATGGCCTCACTGAGTATAAGGTGGCCTCCTATATACTTAAAATAAATGCCTTTCTGCTCATGTTATTGAAGTCTTGCTAACAGGATAGAACAAGTATCTAATTCTATGCATGGTACAAGGGAGTAAATCTCACTGAATGCAGTTCTGAGCAACCAAACAGAGTTATACTGCTTTGCTGCAGTCCAGGGGAAACCTCTTAAACACACTGGAGTGCCTTCACCCAGAAGTAAATGGTGTTCAATCCAGTGGGACTTACTTTCTAGTAAGCATACTTCAGATGGCAGCCTTAAAGCAATATGCAGGCAGGACTGGAGCTGAACCTTTATTGACAAAAGGTTATTTTTTTAAAGTGCCTACAATAACTAGTACAAAATTAAAAATATACAGGGTCTTATCCATAGACTTAAACCTAGCATTTCCTATAATTAACAGGCTCTGTAGCTGGTGTTTGAAAAATTCTGCGGATATGTATTTTTTTAAGTCAGACTGCTCTTCATTGCTTTAACTTGCACTAGACTGTATGCATATTTACCAGCATTTATTGCTGCAATGTATTCTTTTATGTCATGCACACATGTGCAAAATCTTCTATCAGAACACAGAAAACCATACTGGTGGGATATATTGCAGCCATTTCCAGCTAAGAAGGGTAGCAGTCTCAAAGAAAGACAGACAGCATTGTTAAAGCAATAGTTAATATTTGGCACAGGGATGTTCATTAAATACTTTGGGCATGAGCCAGCCAAAGTTTCAGGTTCAAGTTTATTTCAAGGCTTAAATCTCTCCTGCTGAAATCAGTGCTATGGAAGAACGTCATTGTGGATGGACTGTAGCCTCTGATTAAAAGGAAAGTACTTCACTGTTTCCACATCCAATATAAAATCTTCACAGTTACTGTTACACTTGGTAAGAAATTTATTATCATAAATACTTTTAAAATCTTGCTGTTTGAAGGTTGCTGTTCTACAGTCCTAGCTGAGTAACATTTCTTTGATACTGGCAGGAATTTTCACATGATAAGAAGTTAGAAGTTTCGAAGTCCTACTGATTTCAACCAGGAAGAGTTAGGATGAAATCCTGTGGACCTTTCCCTGGCTTGCCCTCCAAATCCGGTGGGTTTGACCTCTAAGTAGACATGTATAGGATGGAACCATGCAAGACATACGTAGCTTTCCCACAGAATCAATGGATTCCGGGGAGCTTAACACAGACTGGACTACGCCTCTCCTCTGGCCTCTTCTTTTTAAATAGTTTTAATTGTATATGCCCTCTTTGACTGAGAAAACATGTTTCTGGCTTCCAAGCAGGGTCTTCAAAATCTCTCCTTCATGGATGCACGCTTTTACAACCGCATAGGGTCAAATAGACAGGGCCTTTTGGCAGCCTTTTTCAAACAGAGATGCTTCCTCCCCACCAGCCTGATTGGTTTTAGATTGTAATATTTGGTTACATGAATAGGCTTACCCAGACACAGGCACTTACAAGCAGTTGCAGCGCAAGGGCAATCTGTATGTTACAGCCTTCAATTGCAAAATGTAGTGCATCTCTTCCCCCGCTGCCCCGTGCTGCCTGTACTCTTCTACACTTCCTCCAGAGATTCTCATGTAGATTGCTGGAATAGCTGTGTGTCCTTGTATGTGTGCATCCAGAAAAGGTTGCATAGCCCTACTATGTGTGCTTTTTCAGAAGTCTGACTGTATTCAGTGGGACTCACTCTCTTGTAATGGTGTGCAGGATTGCAGCCTAAATTTAAAGTAGATTGTATAGCTTCTGAAATCTTATGATCTGTCCTGCATTGAATTTCAAGGCCTGAAAGCAGCTGTTTTTCAGATGGCTTGGTGGTACAAGAGTAGGTAGACATATGCAAAAATAATCCTGCTCACCATATGGTCCAAAGATACCCACCCCAGTCCTTGAGTCCAAAGCAATACGTTCCTCTCTCTTTATTCCCAGCTAAACACCCGGGCGGCAGCCACTGAGCGCTGCGCAGGGGTGCCATCTTTTTTCCTGTTACGGATACTCAGTGATTGCTCAAGCTCTGCCTCATCAACTGCTAGTGCTGCAATATCCTCTTTGATCAGGGGTCAAAGGTTGGGGTAATGTTAGGGATGGTTTGCTGGCCGCACTTACGGTCCTCCTTCAGCAGGAGAAAACCTGAGGCGACTCTCACACCCCACAAGCTAGAAGCTGCCAAAGGTAGGGGGAAGGGGAAGCTTGCACAGTACCTCAGCTTCCCCCAACGTGGTGCCCTTTGATGGGAGTAACAGTCCAAGGAATGTGGAGGGCACTAGACTGAGGAATGCTGTAATATGTGGTGCAGGCGAAAAGCTTCTTTCGCTGCTCTTCAGACCCCAGAACAATGCAAGGCAGGGCGCTTGTCGCGTGTGCATCGCCCGTGCACCTCGCTGGCTTGTGCGCACACACACACAGGCTTCCGCTGAAAGCCAGGGGACGAACATGGAACCACATACCGCTTTCTCTCCCTCTTTAAAGCCCTTTCTGTTCCCCTCCCACCACAATCGGGCTGCGACTCCCGCCTTGCACGCACACCCCTCCTCCTGGCAGCCCAGCTGCTGCACCTGGTTGGCACGGCCGGCCCGGGAGCATTTCCCCGAGTCAGTGCGAGGACACCGGCGGCGAGAGCGGCGGCGCGCCTCTTCCCCTTCCCAGCTCCTCAAGGCCGCCCCCGCCCGCCTCCTCCCTTGCAGAGGCCGGGCCCGACTCCGCGGCGCCAGCCCCGTGACGTCACTCCCCCGTTGCCTTTCCT